TCTTATAAGCTGTCTTCAAAATTTTAGATACTGCAGGTCCCCGTGTGGCATTTGGCTGTTCTTTAAGGGGAGTTAATGGGGGGCAGCTATATGAAATGCAGTAGATAAGTCTATAATAATTTTAAGGTAACAAAAATATTTAATAATCACCAGTTGCCATATGTGTTTATTTTGTTAGCCCTGTCTGTCAAATGTCACAGTAGCTGAAGTTGAGCAAAACCATGGTCTTCTGTAATTCCTCAAGTGATTAATGACTCCTGGCCTGAATTCTATAAATGATTTGATGTTTGAGAGTTAATGTTGATCAAGTATGAAATGGTTTGGGATATATGGTTCAAAGTGGCAGTTTCTGAGTTATCAGCAGCTTTGAAGAGGCCAACTCTAGATGTGGCTGATTCTCTTGGATGTTTTCTTACAGACTAGGTAGCTTATGTTCCTGTCTGTTAATAGACTTCTTCACAGGAATAAACAAGAAAAGGTTTTCTACTGACCTCCAGTTTCAGTTTTTAAAAGAATGAAAAAACTTGAGCATTTGCATGGATAAGTTTTTAAACAAGTTTATTGTAGACAGTGAAGAGTTCAGAGTTTATTGTTTTGGGTGACGCTGGGTCAGTGTGCTACTACTGGTCACCGTCTTGAAATTTATTTCTGTAATGGGGAACAGACAGTTATGAAACCTTGCATTTTGAAGGATAAAATACGAATCTGTACATCAGGAAGAATCAAACTTGAAGAAGCCTGGGGCAGAGGGGGGAGAAACAAAGGAAAAAAAAGCATAAAGAAATCTAAGCGTGTAATAGTTTGAGAAGGGCAGGTATGTTCAGGCTACCTTGTCAGATATTAGGATGAGACTACAGTGGCTTGGCAGCTTCCCCCTTCTTATTAGCCAGCTGCCTTACAGCAGCAGTCCATCCAAGGAAGTAATTGTTACAACCAGATATCTAGTTTCTCTGCCAGCTCACATTTAGTTTTGAAAGCAATTAACTGCAAGGAACTTGATTGCATCCAGCCAGTAATTTCCTTTGGACTCAGAGATAATAACAGAAACAGAACCAGAAATAGTCCTCTAATGCTATACACAATGTAATTTAATGCAATTCTTCTAGCCTTCATCTGTATGAATATTAGGCAAACGAGTTTAAAACTCTTTTTTTTTTTTTTTTTAAATCACAAAGCTATTGTGGCCCCCCAAAACGAATCCTTGTTCTGATTATAGTGTATATGTTTTTACTGGAGATTGCACAGATTTTCATTATAGGTGCAGCATTTACATTGTAATTAAGGCTGTGTCGGTTCTGTTGTGACCTTGCTTCACCAAATTACTGCAGGCTGAAACTTGATGTACAGGAGCAAAATTCAGTCTTTGCAATGCACAGGAAACAGGCTGTGTATCTCTGTGTGGCAGTAGCACCTCTCCGCTGGTTTTTTTTTCTTTCTCACTGTATTAAGTATTTTTCTTGTAAAACTCAGTTTGGATGCAATTAATTTTAAATTGGTGATAAGGTACAGAAGAACAAGAACAGAAACAGTTTTTCCTATGTGAGTCCTAGAAAAAAAAAAACTTCACCAAGAGACAAAGTAAAGGAATTCAGTTAGGGGTGGAGGGGAGAGAGATCAGAGAGGAAGCTTCCCAATGAACATAAAAAATGTTGTTCTGTGCTGCTTTCTTCTTCAGGTTGGACCTGACAGCAAGATGACTTTCTGATTGAGAAGTCTGTGTGGTCCATCTAGCTTTTCCTTCCCCATCGTCAGCTTGATAGCAGGGTCATATGTGCATATAGCTATTTACAATGCACTTCTATTACTATGGCTGGTGTCTAATATGAAAAGAGATTATTTGCTTTCGAACTGTATCTTCCCCACAAGTAGAACAAATGAATGCTTCCCACCCTCTTCATGAAATTGTTCTCCTGAGGGAGAAATGCTTCTCGCCTTTTGCCCCTCCTCCAACATCCAAGAAAACTCTGTCCCTATTCCTGCCTGATAAAAGACAAAGGGAAGGTGCTTGGGAGGATAGAACCTTTTTCAACAAATAGTGCTCTTCACTAGAGTTCTGCAATAAATCTAATGCTGCTCTTCAGGTTTGATAAGGTTAGGTACTCTGAGTGATTTCTAGTATTTGAATATATATATATATTTTTTTTTTTTTTCAATGTATAGAATGTACACACCATTGTCATCCTCAGCCTGGCCCTTTACACCACTACTTTTGTCAGTGAAGAGACTGTGTCCTCCAGGGGATGATTCAGAACATTGCTAGAACCTTAAGGCAAATAACCTAACACCTTTGATTTTCCTTTTGCTTATAATTGGTACATTTTATATGTCACCAGAAAGGAATGGTAATTGAAAAAATGGCTGATAATTCTACTTTTTATGCAAAAAATATGCCAACAATTATTTCCCCAGTTAAAAGTGTTCCCTTTGGCTTTTAAAGATTTTTTTATATATATGTTTTAAAAGCAGATTGTATTTCTGATGTAAAATTGTGGAAATAATTAAAGGTTAATGTCTCTAGTCTTCTTTCCTACTCTGTCAATGTATCTGCAGGACACAGGGTCAGTAGAAAACTGATGCGTCCAGCAGGAGATTTGAAGCTAATGTGATGTTATGCTCCTAATATCCTCTTCCTAATCATGTACTTAGGAAAATGAGTTAAGCATAAGAAAATATATGCACAAAGGTATATATGTTTTACTTATATTTGACTAAAGAGAGTTTCCTTATTTATTTACATAGTATTTAAGAAAACCATTTCTGATAAAAAAATTGATTAATTTATCACTTAAGGAGAACAAACAGCAGGAGTTTAATATACAATCAGATAACAGATTAGTTTACAAAGCCATTCTGCAATTAGAGATGCTTAGGTTTGAATGTGCCCTCTTCCCCCTCCTCCCTGCACCTCTGGTAGATACATCCATAACTGCACCTTGTTGCAATTTAATATTGTGGCTGTGAGGGTTTGCTCCAGGAAGAAGAAGCTTCACAGATGAGATATGTTAGCTATAATGTCTATCCATTACTTTGTTAGTTATATCTCTATGAAGTAAAGCAACTGTTAAAATACTTGCTTCATTTGTAGACTGAGGGGTGCTCCTGTCTCTAAATGATTTACATTATTTACAACAGCATTTTTCTTTGGAGTGAAGTAAGAGGTTGAATTCTGGTTTGAAATGGAAACAACCATTAGAAAAAACAGTAGTATGTTAGGCCACTTACATGCCTTCCTACTCCTTTGAGTCAGCAAATTTTCTTAAGTATAGTGACTGCTTAAAAAAAAGAAAGAAAGAAAGAAAAAGAACCCACCCACCACCTGATGAAAGATCTCAAAATGTGAAACTTAGTCAAAGGGAACTTTGAAAAAATTCACACAATCACCATGCTGCCCACTGGAAATAATATCCACTGCAGCAATTTTTCTTTCATAGTTTCTTATTTGTGTTCTCATTCTTTCTTTTCTTCATATGTACAACATGAAGCAAACTAGCATCTCTGGAAATGTAGGATATAAAATGTAAGTGGGACTGTCAGCAAAATCTGCTATGTTCCTGCTATTTTACTTCCTAGCTGACAAAAAGGTTTGCATAGTTTTATTTAGTTACAATTCGAAGAAACCATTACAGAATAGTTTTCCAGGACTCACTGACTACCCAAAAGTAAATAAGAAAAACGAATAAAAATAGACATAAAAAAATTGGGATCTTTGAATGTGATTTGCAATTATCAGTGAAGCTGCACTCGTCACTAACACTCTTCTTCCTTTTTGTTAGAGGATTTCCATGCAATAATTCTTCTATAGCTTCTATAATAGCTCTTGGATATGAAGGCATTCTCTTTACTGAATGAAAACTGACTAGTTTCAAGTGTAGAAGCGTGCATAAAAGGGAAAAAAGCAAAAGCCTCAATGCTCATTTTCGAAACAGGAGTCCATGAGTATATAAAGATATGATTAAAGAAAAAAAGGCCTGCTACATCTTCATATTAACCTTCCACATAATAGATAAACAGCATTTCCTGCCAAGTCACAGTGCCATTCTGTTGGTGCTTGATGTAAAATTTAGCATTGTTTTGAGATATGTGATCATGTGATTCCTACTTTCTACACGGCAACCAATGCAGAAGCAGTCTGTCAAGGACTGTCATTGAGGATCAATGCTAAATGTTACTCAGCAGGATGCAGACTGTATCTCAGTGGGTGTCCTCCTACTATGCTTTGATTATGTTTGTTGTAAAGAAAAGCCTAGTTGTGCTTACAGCATTCATATTTCACTCCCTCTGTGGAAGAAATATTACAGCCTCTTGATTTGTCCCTGTTTCAACAAGATGTGTTGTTTAAAAACATATACACAGCATTTTCAAAGATTCCTTCAGTATAATCTGATTATAAAGGGGTTATGTGACAGTTTGTCTCTGCTGCTTATTGTGTGGCTTAAATCTCTGGGGACAAGCTGACTGAACATCCATACAATTTAGAGTCTGATGGCAGCTGTGGTTCAGAAATGTTGTTTTGGGCCAAATCTAGGGTCAACTGAGGAGGCACTTTGGCACACACCAAGGTAACAAGGATTTTGTACTGCTTATTGCTTTTTATAACTTTGTTAGGTGACAATTCTGTAGGCTGGTTACGTGGGGGGAAGATTTAATTAAATAGAGTGGTAGTTTATTAACTTAGAGCGAGAAAGGAAGGGAAAAGAGGCAGAATATTTTTATAGTTTACTGTGTGAGTAGGAAGTAGTAAGTCTACAGATAATTCTTCATCTCTGAGCATTGATAAATAGGGTTATATATTGTGAAAGAGAAAACAGATACTACACTGGACAGCAAGCTGACCTATTGCTTTTATAAAAGGGTATTTCAAGCAAAAATATGTATTTCAGGGAATGTGTATGTGTTCTCCGCATGACAAAATCACTCACCCATGACTTCCCATCTCCTCTTAATGTTTGCTGTCTTCAATACAGTTTTATAACACTGGTGCTCTACTAACAAACTTCCAGGCATGAACGAATACATACTAGAAGACCTTACCATGTGGATGGAGCTGACAAGTACTCTCTAGATGATGATCTGGTAAATCTAGAAGTTCTAGATGAGGTACTGTACTGTCTGAATAGCGGTTTCTGACAATTGTGCCTCTGACAATTTTGCCTGTTTCTGCTTTTTAGGCTTCTTTTAACAGAATGAGAAGAGTTCCTTCTTGCAAACTTTTGTCTCACCATGGCAAAGGAATTGTCACGTGACTTCTCTGCTGGCATCACTTTGCTAATATTCTGTATAGTGACATAAAAGCAATAGCAGTGAATCCTATTATGTGGATGAATTTAATTATGAGTGAAGCTAGTTTAAGTATTTTTGTGAGTTTCCTAAAATGTGAAGTTTAGTCATGAAGATCTAGATTTAAGTGATTTTTCCTAAAATCGATGAATTGATATAGAATGATATGGTATCTACAGCTTCTGGATAAAAAGTGATAAAACAATAACAGTTGCATATTTCAACATATTACCTATATGCAGAGTATCTGCAAATTTTTGTTTTGACAATCCTTAAATTGCATGGCAGCAAGAAAAAGACATAATATTAAATTGTGCTAGTGTTCTGCTTGAAACAGTCTCTTACTACCACTTAAAATTTAATCCTTGAAAAATTATTATCCTTGTTTCATGGTCAAATAAAAAATTAAATGGAAATGTACAATGAAGTGCAGCAATAATGTGCATGGTCATTTTCTCTTCAGAAGGTTTGTTTCTCAGGTTGATATAACAAAATATGTACTAATCTGGAAATAGGAGTTGCCATTTAACTTAGTTTTGTGGTGTTAGCAAGAATTTTGAAACTATTTGTTTGGTTTTGTGGTGTTGGCATTTGAAAACTAATTAGTAAAACTTATTATTTCTTAATCAGTGTTCTCAATATATTTAGAAAAATCTTCCTAACTGGGAAAATACTGTTTAACTATCAAACTTTTTGTAATCTTCTCAGGATACAATTATCCATCAGCTGCAGAAACGCTATGCTGACTTACAAATTTATACTTATGTTGGAGACATTTTAATAGCCTTAAACCCCTTCCAGAATCTCAGCATTTATTCTCCCCAGGTAAGAGAGATTCCAAGCTGTGGACAGTACTCACTTTACATTTTACATTAACACCACTGCCTAAAATACTTAAGTGATGTTGGAAGCTAGGAGCAGACTAAACCCCAGCTTTTTCTTCTTCCAGAAAAGTGTGTCTACAAATCATTTTGTTTGGGTTTTGTCTGTTGGTTGTTTTGTTTTGTTTTGTTTTGTTTCATTTTTTAATTCAATCTCATTTGATTTCATTCCTTTCTGCTTGGTGGCACAAATTCCACAGGAGGGATGAAGATTAACCCAGACACAGCTGCGCCTCTTCTCTGGCATTTAGGGCTTTATTCTGAGAAACAGAAGATGGTTATATGAACCTCCTTATGCTGAGGCTGTTGCTTCCTAAATGATTGCTGACTATTGGGTTATTACATGTCCTATGCCATCAGCTGCTGCTTAAAAGAAACAAGTGAATCAAATGGTGTAAAGATAGAGGCATCTTAGTTCCCTACAAACACGAAGAGAGGTAGAGCCATAAATCTTAGTCTCCCTGGGTGCCTGAATCAGGGTTACAAGCAGAGGTGCCAGATTTCAAATTCACTGTTCTCTTTGAAGTTTCTTTTGTATAGGTTAGGTATTTCCTTGTTTGAATGCTTGTGTTTGAAATTCTGTTCCTTGTGATGCAGTTCTCTTCACTGTCTTGTGCGGGAAACATCGAAGTGCATTTTAGGTGTTGTAATTTGTATTCTGAAAGTTGGGCAGTGCCAAGAATTACCACTCTTCTTGCAGGTGGTTCAGTGGAAATTCTGTGGTAAAACAGGCAACTGCCTTCTGTTGAACAGGTAGAAAATAGTCACTATCCTCTCTTCAGTTCTTAATTATGTAGCTGAGTTGCGTATTTTGACTATCATGTGTTCTTTTTTAAATTTAGTTCTCCAAGCTTTACCATGGTGTGAAGCGTTCATCAAATCCCCCCCACATATTTGCCTCTGCGGACGCTGCCTACCAAAGTATGGTTACGTTCAGCAAAGATCAGGTAAGAATCTGTTCATTTTGGTTTAGATTTCGTATTAATTGTACTGCCACTATGCTACATGGCTATGGCTAATGTTCTGCTATCTTGTACTTCGGGAAATTTTTTCTTTAAGCCTTTTATTTCTTCATCAGGAACTCCAGAGTAGAAATCTAGTCAGGTTTGGGAATTCTGAAGAGGACACAGTGGCATAAAAGAGATTAAAAGATGAAATAAGATGATAGGGTTACCTGACCAATACAGGTTTCCTGGACATCCATGAAGTCCTGGCAGTTGACACCAGCTGCAGAGTGCTGCTGCACACTCTGATTCTAGCCTGTCTTGCACAAGGTATTGTAGTAATTTACAGCTGTATAAAATCAGAGGGTCTTAGTGCCATAGCAGGTTAACACAGTTTGAACCACTTTTGTTACATAAAGACACTATCAAGCAATGGATAATCAACTCCTTTAACTACAAGTCACAAAAAATAGGAACCATTAAATAAGTAAAATATATTAAGTATAGGTCTAATATAAATGTAATAAGGACACAAATCCAATTATATAGCAATGATTTTAATGAGAATGAAATACCATGCTGTAGAAGCTAGATTTCTTTTTCTTGCATTCTTAAGATTATAACTTTGTACTCTTTCCAGTTTGGTGTGCTGTGTGTACATGAATATTGAGGGCTGATAAAGATTTTTATTTATAAAATCCTCCTGATTTTACCCTGCACATCACACAATAATTCACAGAAAATGCTTTTTTAAAATCACAAAAGCAGAATAAAATAATAAAACCCCAGCAATCAGAAAATACCAAGCAAAGAAGACAAACGAAAGAGACATTGAAGATGAAGAAAAAAGGAATTCTACTGGGTATGTGGAAGTACACTGGCCTGAGAGTTGGCTAGTACTTCTTTAAAGACTTATATGCTCTTTGATGGAGGCATTAAAGAAAAAAAGTGCTCATGTAGAATAAGTTATGTGAGAACTTATCTAGGAAAAAAATTAGTTTTGACATCAGCCTGTCAAGCTAACTTTGTACATCTTTAATATTATATGTTTCATACACATTTAGGAAGTAATTTGCATTTAGATCTAAATCAGTTTCCTATTTTCTGTTTGCAAAGGATTACCGGAGCATGTTTATCTCCATTACCTGCCAGTGCTATGTTGGTTCTTCAGGTAAAGGTGGATTAGATAAACACTGTAGCCAGATCAAAAATATATTGATTCTGTTTGTTTTATCCATTGACCTTTCCCTTGTGTTTTCCTGTGAAGCCTGAAAATTGACTCCAGGTCTAACATTTCTCCTGAAGCTAAAGTCAAGTTCTGGCCAGTTCTACAAGAGTGTTATGAGTTCTACAAGAACTCATGGGCTTTAACAATATAAACTGTTGTACATGACTTCTCTAGTCATTCAAAGACAATTAAGATAGGTATCATAACCTTGTAAATCCATCACTGGGTTATCTGTTTCCAAGAAGAACAAAATACCTGGCAAGAAGCAAATAAGTGAGCTGCAAATGTCATATTGCATACATTATTTAGAGTCAATCCCTGCACCTGCTGTCAGACACCACAAGACACCACCAGAGAACTGCTACATCTTTCAGACATTTTCACAAAGCTCAGTTCTGTATGAAGTGTAATTTCATCAAGTATTTTAGGACCTTCTGTCTTCTCCCAGCCAAGAATCTTGTATGTTCACAGTATGGTGAAAATGATTTTTCAGGTACTGGCATAAAACCACACGAATCTATGTGACTGCTCAGTATTAACGTTTTAATTATATGTCAGTTGGTACTGTACCTTAAGTAGACTAATTTGTACTGGTGATCTGTAGAACACATGAAAAAATGGGAAAATAATAAATGCTGTTAGGATTCTTACTTGCTATGACCCGAAATGTTCACACTTCAGTGTTCAGATGTGAGCATGCCTTCTACTTCCGTCTCGTCCATGAAGTGTAACAGCGTACAGGAGGGTACCAAGTGATTTAGACCATTCTAGCTAATCTCTGAGTCTGGAAACCACTTGGAAAGCCTATAATATAGCATGCTTTAAGGACTGTTGGCTTAAGAAGATGGATATGTTCTCCCAGAATCATCCAATGAACAGATGCTTATTTGCCTGAAGTTTTTAGATGCTAGTTTGCTGTTCTAGCTTGAATATCAGAGTCACTTATAGAATAACCTCTTTACATAGCAGCAATTATTTAAGATTATTTTTAAAGCCAGGAGCAGACTTTTGGTAAGTGTATTAAATACAGCTGTACACTGTGTTTCATGTTAATTCATATGAAGTCAATGCAGTGAGCTCCGATGCGCTGTTGAATTATGTCTCATCGACTGAGCTGTGGCAGTTTTCTGAGTTTTAAACATTTGGAAGAAGCCACATATGTGCATAGCATGGCTTAGCCTGTAGACATGGTCACTCGTTTATGTGTCTTAGCCCTTAGAAATTCAGTCACTGCTTCATGCATACTCACATTGCTATCAGGCATTGTGAGACACCTTTTAGTAATCTAGGGAATAAATTATTACACTGAGCCTTTGCTGATCTTTCCTTTCAGGAGGGAGCTGACTCTTAAAATATTTTGTAGTCTTGGTACTTAACAGTTAAACCAGGTAGGAACAGTAATAGCTGAAATCGACCATGTGGTGAGCTGCGCACTTAACTGTTTTATTTTGTGTGTTTAGTGCATTATCATCAGTGGGGAAAGTGGTGCTGGAAAGACAGAAAGTGCCCATCTGATCGTCCAACATTTGACCTTCTTGGGAAAGGTATTTCTTAGCCAGTGATGTAAAACTATGAACAAATCCTCCCAGCCCCACTCCCAATTTCCACTTTATTTAATCTTTAATACCTAAAAAAAGGTTTGTGTGAATTGTCCCACCTGAGTTAGGGATGGATTAATCACACATGTGAGTATTAAATTAAGATACTATGGTATGACCCACACCAAGCCATTCAATATTCTTTGAAAGAGAAGGTGCCGGATCCCAAGCGTTCAGTGCCTGTAGTATCTACAGTGTTTATCACATAGACTGTCGCTCATTTATACGATGTCTTGGTTTGAAAGACAGGTGTCTGATG